TTCTTCTCACTTCTTGAGTTCATAATGTTTTAATGTTTAAGTAACACATCTTAGAGTGGAGCTGAACCTCTTTAGCCATAATTGCTCATTAAATTTCACACCTTTTTTTCCACAAAAGCAGATTATTTTTACCCTTATGTGAGAGGTTCTTTATGTGCGCGATCCTTTTTTTAAGAGCCACTTAAAAAAGGACCAGATCAGCCCAGATATTCTGAAGGTGTCTTTTTAAGCTCTGTTAATCCAATGAAAACGACTCGACTCTTATCCACACGTATCCTCAAAGCCGATGGTTTCTCGGTGTGTTCCTCGCTGCTGAGAAGCTTCGCCGCACTCAGAAACCGCCGCTGAAAGAGTTTCAATTTACTTTTTGGAACCAGGTTTGAATGTAAACGCTTCAGAGATGTAACGTCCTGTCCGTTGTGTCCTCTTCCAGCCGTGGCAGTCGGAGGAGGAGGGCTCCTGGCTCAGGGAGTACCCGGTCACCCTCATGCAGTTCTTCAGGTACCTTTACCATAACGTGCCCGACTTGGCGCCGATGTGGCACAGTCCGGAGTTCCTCTGCGCGCTGGCAGCCACCGTCTTCCCCTTCAACATCAGACCCTACTCTGAGATGGTGAGTCCGTCCATTTGTTGTCACCTAAAAATCACATTGTGCACGCTGAAGCAGCAGGAAGTGACCTTTACCGGCTGCTTTAATAGCGCTTCACCTCCTTCTGCACAAATCTCCAGACTGTAGTTTCCATTTCGTGTGGAGCTTTTAAAGGCCTGGAATTGGGTTTAAAGGGGGGAAAAAAAGTAATCACAGGTATTGATCAGTGACCCAATCAACTCTCAGCAGATATATGGTCATCACCTCTTATGAGGCAATAAAAACGGTAACTTATTGTCTCCTCCTGAGCCCAGCTATCTTGGATGCTGCAGTTTTAAAACCACAACTGCCAGACGCTGCAGTTTTTCACTAAATAAAAGGTGTTGCCCTAATAAGATAATTGCTCTTAGAGGGAGCTTAGCTTTTGAATGAAGCAAGACGTTACTAAGAACGTCCACAAGTCGCAGTAGCAAGGAGACAAAGCTAAAAATGAAATATCTCTAAACTAAATGAGAGTGTTGCTTTGCTTCATTATTTTTCTTACATACTGAATATCTAGACTCTCTAAATAGCCGATGTCACTTTAATAAATGTAAATAAAAAGTACAAATAAAACAGTTTCACAGTTTCCAGATTCCCTAAAACCACTATTTTCCTTGATTTGACCCACACTGGTAGATCTAAAATCTCTCTCACTGGGTATACAGGTCACATTTGACCCCAAACAGCCTTAGAGTACAAATTTTAAGCTAAAAGATGTTTATGGTGTTTTTACTGCTGTTGGATGTAAAAACGGGTCAAATTCAACCTGAAACATGTTCAGTCGTCCTCAAATGTATTCATACCCTTCCATTAAAGAAAAAGCTGAATTCACAATAGTCACTAAAATAACTAGAAACTGAAGAAAGTAATAATAAATAAAAATTTGTTAAATTATAGTTTAGTGAAATAAGACATTGCTTTTGAATTGTGGCTGAAAAGAATAATTTAAAAAAACAAAACTGTCCTGGACAAATCAGAGCACCTTGCTGATGAGCAATGGGCCAAAATCAAAATATCTGTCAGCAGGTGCAGAAGTCTGACTGAGAGTTACAGAAAACACTTGATAGCAGTGATTGGCTCAAAGGGTTGTTCAACAAAATATTAGTTTACGGGTCCCATCATGCTTGTTTGCTTGTTTTTTCATTCATTTTTTTATTTATTATTACTTTTGTCAATTTCAGCTTATTCCAGTGACAGCTGGTTTTGTCCTTCTTTAATGGGAGGGTATGAATACATTTGAGGACGACTGTACGTAAGGGTTAAATGTACAGCTGAACAGTTTCTCATCAATCTTCCGTCTATTCCAGGTCAGCGATTTGGACGACGAAGCCGGTTCTCCCACTGAGGAGTTCAAGGCCTTCGCTGCAGACTCTGGTATGAACCGCAGTCAGTCAGAATACTGCAACGTGGGCTCCAAGACGTCTCTGACCAACCACCCGGCCAAGAAGTACGTCTTCGACTTCATGAGGGTGCTGATCATGGACAACCTCTGCATGACTCCAGCCAGCAAGCAGACGCCCATCATCGACCTGCTGCTGGAGGTGAGAGAAGAGATGGACAGCGTTGTTAGCTTAGCAGCTCTTTTATATTGTTAGGAAATAATGTTCCCTTGTGTGCCCTTGTGTTTCATTTGTTTGGTCGTTTTGTGTTTTTTTTTTCAGGCTTCTCCAGAGCGCTCCACCAGAACTCAGCAGAAAGAGTTCCAGTCCAACATCCTGGACGGCGTCATGGAGCATCTTCTGGCCGCCGACGTCCTTCTAGGTCAGAGCAGCGTCCTCGCCACCTCACACAGCAGACTTCTGTTTGTGTTTCCATTCTCACGTTAATCTTGAACGAACACACCTCCCGGTCATTTTTCCTTTTCAGCTTAATGGTTTGTTAGCTGCCAAATTAGCCCACAGGGAGGACAAACTCAGCGTCAAATTAATCAGGATGTGGCTGCTAAATCCTGCCTCTTACAAAAGACCCAGATGAGCGTGCTGCAGGGCGGCTCAGCTGAAGAAGAACAAGCTCTAATGGTTGCATCATGAGTCAGCAAATCAGAGTGAAGACATCTGCAGAGAGATCTGTTATCACCTTCAGCGTTTTACATGACTGCTGGGGTTGTACATCAACTACAGTCTTTGGTTTTGTTTTTAAAAAATGAGACACGTGCCTAAATATGGTTAGACGTGGCACAAAAGCCTAGTTACCTCCTATCTAGCTCAACTACTTTAGCACAATAAGAAGTCAAATAAAGCACATGTCGCTCTTCTGTTCAGTCTTCAAGGTAATTTCTGCTAATGAAAACATTAATATTCCCTCCGTGTAGGGCAGCTTTTATCTGGGTTTTCTTCATTTCTGTGATTCGGTTTCACTATAAACTGTAAATCCTCTGACTGTCCGTCTCGCTGCTGGTCTCCTTCCAGGTGAAGATGCGTCTCTGCCGCTCAGCAGCGGTGGCAGCTATCAGATCCTGGTGAACAACGTCTTCTACTTCACGCAGCGTGTGGTGGACAAGCTCTGGCAGGGGATGTTCAACAAGGACTCCAAGCTGGTGGTGGACTTCATCGTGCAGCTCATCGGACAGGTACAGAGCGACCTCGGGCTGTAGCAGAACAGACAGACCCACCTAAAGATTTTAAACTAAGACTTAAGACTAGTTTGTCATGCTGCACAAATGACATTTTTTCAGGCCTGTACATTTAAAATGACCAACCATTCATGTCTTAATGCAAGATTTAATTTCTGTATATGTTTCAATACATAAATAAAACATGTAGCCATCACAGAGTCTTTATATTGACTAAATAAATACACTAATAAGTATGAGATGTATTTTGAGGATTTTTAAGCACCATAGTAAAAAAAAAAGAAAAGAAAGAAAACCAGCAGAATCATATTTTAATGCAGCCATGTTTGGACTTTGTATCTCACATTTCATGCATGCTGTGCCTCCTTTACACGCCACCGTGCAAGTGAGAAGATTAACAGATTACCGTCTGTAATTGAATTTTCAAGCCTTTCTATGTGACCTGGAAATGATGGTGATTAGTGGTTTTCTACATGCAGCTTACAGACAGACAGAAGGAATTAAAACGTGTTTCAAGTGGTCTGAAATATCGTCTGAGCTGATTTCATGTTGTTACAAGATGCTCTGTCTGCAGATGTGCACAACTTAAAGCAACTCCTGAACAAAGTGGTTGATTTTTTTCTCTGGACGTTCTTCATATTTCAGGCTTGAAAACTGTTTGCAGCAGTTTATTTTGTATATGTTTTGCTTTCTAACAAATCAGGAAACTCTGATTTCTCTCCAGTGGTTTATTACTGCACCATTCTGTGTGACTTTTAACAGCTTGACAAAGTAAAATTTGCAGAAATGCAGCAGCAATCCAGACAGCAGCACAATAACTCTAAACGTGTCTTGAGCAGTTTTCTGCCCAGACATTAAATCAACAACCACAGGAGCAACAAAGCTACTTTCACAACCCTCTCACGACTTAACGCAGTCCAGTGGCTCACTCAAACAAATCTTCTTTCTGCTGTAGTGTTTCCACAGCAGCTTTGCTCACACTCAGACCACAGCAGCGTAACTAAAAGACTGACAAGCCAAATCTCTTGTTTGTTTGTTTGGTTTCTTCCTCCTGCAGTCTAAGAGGCGCTCTCAGGGTCTCTCCCTCGACACCATCTACCACTGTCTGAACCGGACGGTGCTCTATCAGCTCTGCCGACCCCACAAGACGGTGGCCCAGCAGGTGGCCCTGCTGGACGCCCTGCGGGTCCTGACCGTCAACCGCAACCTGGTGCTCGGGCCGGGGAACCACGACCAGGACTTTGTGGCCTGCCTGGCTCACTGCTTCATCTGCCTGCACAGCGGGAGGTAAGGGCGCACAAAGACCCAATTAGGAGTTTGTGTAGGGTGTTTGTTTAGTCATGTCTTTGTGTCTCCTAATCACACAAAATGGCTTCTAGAAAGAGAATTTCAACCTCTGAGTCATTAATGTCTGCAGATATGATCCAATTAGGAGTTTGTGCAGGGTGTTTTGTTGGTAATATAAAAACAGAAACCTGGAAACTGCTTTTTTGTGTGCCCTAATCACACAAAGGTATCAAAAACAGCTTCTAAGGAGAGAATTTACTGTTAATTAACCTCTGAGTCATTTATATCTGCAGATGTAAGCCAATTAGAAATTTATATATGTTGTTTTTTGAGTAATGAGATGATTTCACTGTGAAGTTTGTGTTGGGGATTTGTTTTAAAACAGGGCTGCTGTTAATTCAGTTTTTTATTTGGTAAAAGACTAAAAGTGAATTTATCCTACCAGCATGTCCCGTCCTGTGTGACCCTTCTGATGTAGATTATGCATCCACAGAGGAGTAGTTTTTATCATAAACTACAAACATTAGTTACACCAGAGAGTATGTACGTGTAGAGTAGAGGAGGAGCTCCACAAATCTTAATATTTAATAATGAAGATAAAGGTCAGGAATATTCATGTTGATTACAAGCCTGAGATTTACACAAAATGTTTATATTTATACACAAATGATATATAATACATGCTGTTTAAAGCTAAATAAGAAAACAAAATAGGTCCAAAAAAAAGAAGAAATCATGGAAATGCTTTAAACGCATTCTCTTAAAGTTTTGTTTTCATTGTGTCAGTCTAAATAATATGAAAAAATCCACACTATTTCACTGAATTAACAATTTTCCTGTTGGAATTAACACCACTGGTTAGTTTTATTTTGAAACAACTGTTTAGATGTACTTTTGAGCTTTGAGTAAACTTCATGTTTCTTTATTGTCAGTGCTTTGTCAGTTTGAGGAGCTGTCAGGAGCATTATTTGTACTTATATTTATTATTTGTACTGAGACAACAACAGAGTTCTCCCAGATATTGCAGTATCAGACTGCAGCAGGTTCTGCTTTAGTTGGATAAATTATTAAATGTCCCACTTTGGGGGAATTGTTCTCAGTAATAATAAAAACCTGTAAAACTGCAGTGTTTATTTGTGTTTCCAAATCACACACGAAGGCGTTAAAAAGAGCTTCTAGAAAGAGAATATCACATCAACTTAACCTCTGAGTCATTAACGTGTCGGGTCAAAACTGAAGAGCTGCGTTATGTGCTTTTAAATTTGCAGAATAAATAACAAATAAGCAACGTGAGTTTGGAAGCTCTTGTTCTTTTGTTAAGTCAAATAAAAATCCTTCTAAAAACCCAACAGGACTCATTTGCACAGTTTCTGTTTACATGCGCTCAGCAAGGGAGGATGAGATCAAAGGTTAGACAACACAAAGAAAACTAATTACAGTCTGTTTTTATTCACATAAAGTTGAAGGAGTTTCAGAGAAAGTTTGCGTTGGCTGGTTTGTCTTCTAGTTGAGGTAGTTGCTCCAAGTGTGATATTCAGAAAGAAAATGGTCGTCACCGTTCATACATACTGCTGTATATATTCTACTAAAACCCCATAACCTGCTTGTGGGTATGAAAGACTTGATATCTTAAGAAAACCTGCAATATTATGCTATTTGTTGCCGAGAAAACTAAAGAATTTGTAACTTTCCGACAGTCCTGGACATAATTACGTATACATCTCAGTCAGAATCACTTCATTCTGCATGTCTCAATTAAAAATTAACCAAAAACACACCATAATATTTACAATGGTTGCAATAAGAAACTAAAAATTCTTCACTCTCCGGCGCCATTAAGAAGCTGTGATTGGTTCAGCTGTGACAAACAGTCGCATGATAAGAATTCAGGGATTATTTGGCTGAACTGCAGCCTTTGTTTATGTTTTTCAAAATAAAAGAGACTGAGAGCGAAATATAATCAATTTAATTGATAATATAAATGCAGCTTGGTTCGAAAATGGCATACAGAGGAGCAAGATGCATTCAGCATTGTGAAACCTCTTCCTAGAGTTGATTTGCAGAGTCTTCGTAGAGGTTGTAAAAATGTACGTTAAAAAACATGACTATGTAGAAGCACCTTTTCCCCTGTGTTTACAAGATTATAATACAAGTTTTGACCAATATATATATAATATATGACATTTTAACTGTGTCCTGCTGCACAGAGCACATTTCTGAGTTCTCTCTCCATCTAGTCGTGGTTGTTCTCTTTCCATAGAGGTGCAGGACTTCAAATTACAGCGAAAACTGAGCCCACAGTGAGAAAAAAATACCCAGAAACTGCTGCTTGGAGTTCAGACAATCAGTTTGTATTTTATGTGTTCATCTGGCAGCAGCTCTTTGTCTCCTCCACGTGAGCGTCAGAGCAGAGTCAGTAGAACAGTAACGACCACAGAGTCCCACTGCTTTGGTTGTTTATTTTCTGTGACTCAGCAGATAGTATGTTTTTGCCCTCGCACGTATTCTGGAAGAATCGGCGTTAAACCTTCAGCAGGTGGGGAGAGACTGAATTTCCTACCACGCTGGGAGCACAATATGCTTTGCCACCGCACGACTCGTCTGCTGCAGAGAAGCCAAACAATCAGACCCGTCCCCTGAGCTGCTGTTTGTGTTTGTGTGTCCGCAGCAGCGTGGAGGGCTTCGGCCTGGAGGCGGAGGCCAGGATGACGACCTGGCACGTCATGATGCCCACGGAGAACGAGGCCGACTCCACGCACAGCCACGACGTCAGCGAGGGTGAGTGTTTGAGTGGGTGGCACCGGTTTGACCCTGCCGAGATTCTGGTGCAACATGTCCCCCTGGTAACACAAAACAAAACAAAACCCCTCTAAAGACACATTCAAACATCTGCCAGCCTTTACAGTTTTCTGTCCTGGACACCATCTTTTAGGATGATGATGATATTCTTGGATGAGCTCTGTTGGAATTTAGTTGGAATTTTAAACGAATCCCATGTGATACGAGTCGATGTTACATGTGAAACAGTGACGGTAACAAGTTAAGTCCACAAGAAAAACACAAAAAGTGGCTGGAGTTGGATTTTTAAGCATGATTTTTGTTTTATTGTATTTATATAGCACCTTTGAAAAACAGAGTTGACAGACAGGGATGAAATGAAAACAAGGACACTCAGGAATAGCATCGAAACGAGAGTCCAGCAGAAGGAGAAACACCAGAGAGGCAAAGAGGAGAAATAGAGTTGAACTTGGTTGAAGATTTTCAAACTGAATCAATACAACAGATAAAATATTAAAAGAACCAAAAATGCCACATCTAAGGAAGGACAAAGAACAAGTTTACTAATAGTAGTAATGGTGATAAATAAAGTGTAACCAAGAAGAAAATGAACAAATAAAATATAAATATCAATTAGACGATATATAGATATAGATAATAAAAATAGAAGTTTCTGTGTGTTCAGTTAAGTGTGCAACTGTGAAGACTTTTGGTGTATGACAAGGAGGAAGAAATGATAATAAATGTTTTGGTCTTTGGATTTTACTGAAGTTGGAAAATCAAGTTTTTCCAGCTGTGCACCTGCAGAAAAAAAAACTAAAGCCTGATTCATTTTTCTTCCTTTGTGCAATGTCTGGTTTTTAATTTCAGCTTATTTTACTTCAAGCTGCTCTTGTGTTAGTTGATTCATTTGTTTTTAAATGTTAAAGCTCTTAAATTTCTCTATATCTATAAATCTCTATGTTCTGTTGAGTGTTTTTTTGTTTGTTTGTTTTTTTTTTTACTAATTTTCATGTCTGCTTCTTCTTTTTTTTTTTTGCTAACTTTAGTGTCTGCTTCTTCTTTTTTTTTGCTAACTTTAGTGTCTGCTTCTCCTTTTTTTTTTTTACCTCAGAGTTTAAATACAGATTAAATGAATGAATGAAAGTTGTTATAAAGGAGTTCTGCAAAGATGCAAATTCCAGGTTTATCTGACAGCTGTTTCCACAAGTACCTTCTCTCCAAACTGATTCCTGATTCAGTGAAACAAACAGCAGACAGTAACAGACTGGGTTGTGAGTTTAAACCGTCGTTGTTCCTCCTCTGCAGGCCGGCAGCTGCTGCTGAAGGCGGTGAACCGAGTGTGGACGGAGCTGATGCACAGCAAGCGCCAGATGCTGGAGGACATCTTCAAGGTGTCGCTGCCCTGCAACGATCGAGGCCACGTGGACATCGCCACGGCCCGGCCCGCCCTGGAAGAACCAGCACTGAAGAGCTGGCAGAACCACCTGGGTGAGGAGCGCCGTGACAGACACAAAGATGTCAATCAGTATGACAGAAAAAATATGGCAAAATTGTCTGATACCAGCTTATTAATGTGAATATTTTCACATTAAAACAATATATTGTGGACAAAACAAGACATTTATCATCTTTGGCTTTGAAAAAACACTTTTATTTACCATTTGATAGATTAAACTAATCAACAATATAATCAACATTAAAAGTAATCATTCATTGCAGCTTGAAAGACCCACACACTTGCTGTACACTTCCTAAATATTTCCTCAGCCGTCCGGATTTTGGATTTCCGCTGCCCTTTTTGTTTCTTGGAGCGAGTGTTAAATAGTCATTACACAACTCGGTAAGCTGTTTGGAAACTCCTCGTATTGTTTTGCGAAAGAAATAAACCCCACAGCTCTGCCAGTATTACCTATTATTACTGATCTGCTTACTGCATCAGTGCTTTATTCAGTGCTGATGTACACAAATAAATACATAACTACCAGTCAGTCTGCTGAACCAGACGCTTTGGCAGGTAACCAGATATGATACGATGCTTCTAAATTTGCAAACACACACAAAAAAAAAGTAGGAAAGTCATAAGTTCTTTAAGTTAAATCAGTTAACTTTGTGAATTATGATCCAGTGTTAAAGGGATATTGTTTCTGAAAAGATGTGCTTCTTATAAAAACTGTAAATGTCTTTTTTTCCAGTGCTGTTTCCACCATAAACCAAATTTAGTAAACCGTTATTGTGCAGAGATGGAGGCAGAAATCTCAGATATGTTGATACCGGGATAAACAAAACCTAAACTTCCTGTGAAGAAACCTTTGAACTAAAATACAGCCTTTTACTTAGAATGCTAAATCCAGAACAAAATCTATATTACTGTAAGAGTTTATGGTTTAAAAAAAAACATTTTATCATACATTTTTTAATATTTATTTTTGTAGTTTTTGTGTTTCGTATTTTATTATTTTTTAATTGTTTTTTTGCTTTGTTTTTTTTTTAGTTTTTTTAGTTTTTAAAAATTTTTATTTCTGTATTTTTCTTAAATCATTTTTGATAATTTTGTATTAATTCTGTAGTTTTTGTGTTTTATATTTTATTATATTTTTATTTTGTTTTTTGTATTTTTTGTATTTAGGTTTTTTTGTGTTTTTCTTAAATAATTTTGAGTTTTTGTTTTTAACATACATGTATTTATTTATGTTTTTAACATCAGAAAATACTCAAATTAACAGCAATATTTATGGATTTTGTCAACGTGTTAGCACTGCTTTCTCTTGCTCAAAACGAAAGTCTTTTAAGATGACCTAGTGGTAAATAACATTGACTGAATAGTGTTTCTCTCTGTGCTGTTTTCTTTTATTCAGTCCATGAGAAGAAATGCATCAGTCGCGGTGAAGCAGTCGTACCGGCGACTCAGTCCAAACTGTCCAGAGTCAGCAGTGGCTTCGGCCTCTCCAAGCTGACCGGCGTCCGTCGCAACAAGAAGGAGAACAGTCTGAACAAGAACAGCCTTTCTGCACAGGTACACAGAGGAACAGCTGATGCATACAATATTCTGAAACGTGTTGCTTCATTTACAATCCTGCATTTCTGACCAACAGGAGACTTTCCAGTGGATGTTCACACACATCGCTGTCGTCCGAGACCTGGTGGCCATGCAGTACAAAGAACACCAAGAGGTACCACACCTCCGTCCTCAATGTTCACGTCTGCAGCGTTGAACTGAGAACCAACAGACTGTTATGTAACGATGCAGTCAGGATGCTACTGCAGGACGTCCCAAAAACACAGCTCCATTTCCGCAGGCTGCTGTTGCAGCTGTATTCATAATTCATAGTTGTTTTTTTAAAGTGTCCGTCCTCTCCACCCCACAGCGGCAGCAGAACGCCCTCAAGTACGTGACGGAGGAGTGGGCGTCCATCGAGTACGAGCTGCTGCGTGAGCGAGGCCTGTGGGGGCCGCCCATCGGCTCACACCTGGACAAGTTTGTGCTGGAGATGACAGAGGGACCCTGCAGGATGAGGAAGAAGATGGTCCGCAACGACATGTTCTACATCCACTACCCGTACATCCCCGAGACGGAGACCAACACCAACTCAGCACAGGTACTTCAAACCTGCAGTGATGCGTGAACCCCTGCAGCACTTTTAGCTGATATGAAAGACGTCGTCGTAAAGATTCACATTAGTGGTGTTTCCATACACACATTTTTGTGTAATGGGCGAACAAAGGTTAAAAGAAAACGGCAAAATCTAAAAATTTAAAAAAAGTCCCTAATTTTAAAGAAAAAAAGTTTTGAGCTCCTTTGAGTTGGTTTTTGAGTTTTTCTAAAAAGAGTCGAAGCCCTTTATGAAAGTTCACTGATCAGCTGCTTTTATGGTTGTCTTGGTCTCTGGACAGAATAAAACACGCTGATATGGAAGAATAGTTCCAACTTTAATGACTGAATACATTTCCTGAGAGCTTTTCTCCATTTTCTTTTACAGGAAGCCAAAGTTTAGTTTCTTCTTTGAGGTTTTTTTTAGAAGTTAACAAACAGCTGATTTTGTTTTTGGCTTCTTCTGCTCTTCTTCTATAACCTATAGCACCACCTTGCAGTATTAATAGAAACAACTTTCACATTTTTAATTTGTGGCAACATTTCAAAAGTTCATTTTGAATTCACTGTTAGATGAAAAAACATGACTGTTGAAAAACTTTTTACACTTAAGAGTGAAGAGGGGCTTTTTTTTTTTTTACTTTCCAGCATTGCTTTCTTCACCCTTTCATTATTTTAAACAACGGTGTCGACAGAAAGTCTGTGTATATTTTGTAAAATTAGCTAAAACTTGCCTGTAATAGAACAGAAAAAGGAGCCAGATCCATTAGGGATATCAGCATCAAGGGTTTTTAAACCCCCAGTTCATTAATATTAAGGATCTCCCAATACACACATCAAATTTTGTAGAGTAGCTGTAGTTGTGGCTTCTTACTGCTTAGTATCGTAGCAACCCAAGAAGGCTGTTACTCAGACTACACTCATGGTGGCTATCCTACTGTTGTATGTAACAGCTGCCTTTGAGGCCCAAATCATGCATCTATTGGTTAAAGATCATTATCAAAACAGAGAAAAGCTCAATTTGTGTCCTAATTTAACTCATTATTGATTGATTGTGCTGCTGATCATTGGGGAAATAGTTGCAGATGAACGTCCTGCCATAAATCGTGCTCTGTGTTTACAACAGTCGTGTGACAGTGAACGTTAACGAAGGCTCGGGTGCAGGTTGGTGCTGAATTTCCAGCCATTTGTGTGGCACTACAGTAATCCTGTTAGATGTCAGTGACAGACGGTGTTAGAAGTGAAAAGACGTGATTGTTTAACTAAAATCTGTTAAAGAGAGTAAAGGTGGTATGAGAAGTTAAGGACAGCCTGTCACAGACGCCTGTATTTAACATCGTTTTTGACTTGTCTGGAAATATTAGAGGCCAAAATAGACATTTTTTTTCCATAAACCACAGGCTAAAATTCTGTATTTCTGTAGAAATAATAGAAATAATGTCCTTTGTTGTGTTCATAATCTGGACCCTGCAGAGGAGCGAACGTTGTCCTGAAATAGCGCCGGGGGACGAATCCGTCGCCGTCATGTGAGGAAGCGACACCGACAGCCGGCGGCTCACTTTTCCTGGCACCGCCGACACACATTTAGCTTTGTTTGCTCTACAAATAATCCCCCTTCTCTGTTTGCCAGCGAGCGCCTTCCTGCACTCCAGCAGCATTTACATGGCTGAGATGATGCAGAGAAGTCTTGTTCACGGCTTGTCTTACACAGAAAAGCTGCATTTTTCATCTTTAAATTCTAAGCTGACTTTTTGTACTCAGAGGAAATTAAAAAAGCCGCCTAATTTGTCAACAATGAAGCAGAAAATGGTGATTTAATAATAAAGCTAAACTCATCCTCGTGTCCCTGAACAGAGCAGATAATACCACAGTGACCACTTATTAAAAAAGAACCCTCTCCGTTGCCAAAGTCGCCCCATGCCGAGGCTTCACCAAGTTCAAATGAAGACTTCATGAAGCCTTTATGAGGAGACTCCTCAGATCCCTGCTGGAGAGGATTTTCTGGCTCATGACCTCTTCACGAGCCGGGATAATTAAGTCCAAAGTCCCCCAGGCCTGCTCCCTGATACATAATTTAATCTTGCTCAGGGAGCAGTTGCAGGGTGCTCTTGAATACTATTACAGGCCATTTGCTCAGAGTCTTTCTTGGCTTTTGCTGCCCTGCTTTAGGTCACGAAGGCAGCAGATTTTACTGTTTGATGCAGGGTTTCCAATCTCTGTTGACAAGCCACCTAAAGGAATCTCTTCAACTATAAAGAAAAACATCTAAATGCTACGTTTTGTGGGTTAATGCCAAAGAAAAGGTGTCTGAGTGGAATTTAAGTCAAACATGTCAGACGTGCGTGAAGTTAATCTGAAATGAAAGGAGGCTTTTGTTGAGCTGCTAATGCCACATGAATGAGGCCTGTTGCCTACAGAGAGGAGAACAACATAAGACCAGACTGAACACACTCCTCTTTACGTTAATGCTTCACATTTTTTTGTGTTCATGAATGACACAGCAGAACAGCAACGTAGCAAACACACACTCGTAGAAATGTTAGATCACCGCTTTCTAAAAGAAAATAGCTTAACAGAGCTGCAACGGTTCATCGATTAGTTGTCTGCTAATGAATTAATCACTAACTTTTGAGTCATTTTTAAAAGAAATTTTAAGATATCTTTGTAGTTTTTAAACAAAAATCTCAACAATTTGCTGATATTAGTTCCACAATCTGAGTACTTGATTTTATACAAGAGCTGCTTGATTGATTAGTCGTCCACAATTTAACTCTTGTGATAAATGATTCATCAGTTTGAGTGGTTTTTCAAGACTTAAAGGTCAAAACTCTCTGATTTTTCAACTTCTTAAATGTGAATATTTTCTGTTTTCTTTGTTCCTCTGTGGCAGTACACTGAATATCTTTGGGTTGTGAACAAAGTAGGATATTTTTCACAATTTTCTGATAGTTTATAGACAAGCAGCTCATAGATTTATGATGAAAATGATTTTAAAAATCATCATTAGGTGAAGCCACACTGTCCTAAGGAGTGATGCTTAAAAATGGTGCCAAAGCTTTGGAAATATCATCCTGAGATACGGTATAGTCAGTTTGCTGTTGTGTTGCTTTTTTTGCAATTAAGAAACAAAACTGATTAAAAATAAATGCATTTAAATGACAATACATGACTATAAGTGCCCTGCAGGTTGATGTTGTCTGCTTCCTATGATGCAGCAGCTTCCATGTGAGCTCCAAACACCCTTATCCTCCTTCTCTCTGCCTTCTCCAGCCCTCCTCTCCCCCTCTGGTGCCTCTAATACCCTCAGCTCTGGCTGAGGTCCTCGAACGTGCCGAGGTATCGTCCTGACGGATAGAAGAGTTTAGCTCTCGGCGTGACTGCATGATAGTAGCAGTAACATTTGCATCACTCGCAGCAGAAAGCTAACGCGGCGCTGCTGCGTCTATTGCAACAACTTGCATGAGTCAGTGACGCTATAGCAGCTTTTTGTGGCATCATGGATTCTGCTGTGGATAAAAATGTGAACCTATCGCAACATTTTTTGAAGTTTCTGCCCTTTTTTTTTATTTAACTCAGGAGCCATACAGTTAAAACTGACTCATATTTGTCTTTTTTTGCTTCTACTATGATATGAGGGAGCTGCCTTCCTACTTGTTTCAGACTCACCTTGTGTATGTGTGGTTTGGGTTGAAGGTTTTTCTAACTAAATTCAATTAAAGACAACAATCTATCTGTTTTCCCTGCATTTAAGTATGTTGTTGTGACTTGCAGTATTTGACAGCTTTGGATTTCTAAAAAAAAACAAAACGTAGCATGTATCAAGAAGAAACAAATACATTTCATGATGCATCCGTTTTAATTGTTCGTTTTTCAACATAAATCAACAAAATCTTAACAAAACTAACCACAACTTCAAGTTTTGTTGTGCAATAATATCTTTTATTCGTGAGCATGGTTGTAGATTGGATTTGTTTCTGATTTCTTGCATTTTTGTGGATATTTATGCACTGATTTGTGAGTTTTCTGCATCATTTTGTGATGGAAGAAGAAAAAAACCCACAAAATTCAAGTACAGAATGTTAGAGTAAAGGTTATAGTGGGTTTTTCTAAATATTCTCCCACTGAAATCTGAACTAATACGTGTCAGTAAACTCCAGTTTTTCCTTCACTAGGCCCCCGCCCTTGTCCTTTTACTTTATTAAACGTCATGGCTAGATTACAAGTACAGCTAGATACGATACTTTAACACAGGAAGACCCGTGTCTAATAATAAGTCTCGCCGCTGTGTTGTGGTAGTTATAAAACAATTACCAAGTGCAACAATAACAATACTTCTCTATCAGTATTTATACTCATGAAAGAATCTGTGCAAAACCATTGATACGTGAGCAATTTGGAGAATCTGAATGAGTCCACATGTTTTGTTTTTTTTTTGTGTGTGTTTATTTTACCGATATCTCTCTTAATGCAGATTTTTCCACATTGAGATCAATCAGGGTTCATCGTATCATAAGTGAAGCATGTATTTAGTACTTTAAACACCAATCCACAGGCAAAAAGAGGCTAAAACTGTTTTTTTTTTTTTTTACTGTCAATATGAGAAAATCTATTCAGATTTCGCCAAACCGACTTGGAGTCAGTCGGTTATCCCACAACATTCAGTGCCGCAGAGTCTCACCTTCTTTTTTTTCTCCATCCACAGAAGCCTCTGCGCTACCGGCGAGCCATCAGCTACGACAGTAAAGAGTACTACATGCGTCTGCTGTCCGGAAACCCCGGCATGTACCAGCACTCGGTGGAGCACAACACCGAGGGAGAAACCGCTCAGCACGAACCGGAGCACGGAGAGGACACCATCGCCAGAGTCAAAGGTGAAGAACTATCCATCGATCAGACTTTATTTAAACAGCACCTTTCATACAGATAAAAGTGCTTCACTTATAACAGGAAAAAAAATGCAGTAAAGAAGTGCAAACAACCCCCTCACTCCCAAAGTTATGATACAAATCAAGAACTCTAAAAAACAGGGATTTAGGAAGTGAGGAAACACTTTCCTATGTAACACATGCAATGAGATAAAATAAAATAAGATGGATAAATGAATAGAACGAAATAAAATATCTGTTATTAAAATAGAAATTTCAGATTCAGATCCTTTATTAGGGTCCGAGCACTCCGGTGCAAGGACCCTATTGAAACCCTTGTGATTCTTCTTATTATTATTATAGTTCAGCCGAATCAAACGCGTTTTTGAGGGCCTAAACGTACTCGAAAAGTCACCAAAATTGCCACGCACATCGGGACTGGTGGAAATCGGAAACTAACAGAGACGTGGACATGTCACGGCAAAAATGGCTCCACAGCGCCACCTTGAAAATTTCGCCGGAGTCCTGGCGGAAGCACGTTTGACCTAGAACTACACAATTT